GGTTCATGAGGGAGGGGGAGCGGGGAGGGAGGGGGAAAAATGAGCTGATGCCAGGGGCTTAAGTGGAGAGCAAATGTTTTGAGAATGATAATGACAACGCATGTAAAAATGTGCTTTACACAATTGATGTATGTATGGATTGTGATAAGAGTTGTATGAGCCCCTAATAAAATGGTTTTTAAAAATTAAAAAATAAAATAGATGAGCTTATTTCCAGTTTGAAATAATCCGTGATCACTTAAAAAAATTGTCCCCCAGGATTGTTTAATTCTTTGAGAACCTAGAATTTGTCTATCTTGTTTACTACTGGATTTCAGGGCACTCGGATGGCTTCATAAAGATCTGTTATTTTGTAAAAAACAGTATGAGAGAACCAGCCCCACGGCAGGTGTAACTGGAGGCCGTTGGCCACATCACGCGTATAGTATACTCCGAGACAGGGTAGAGAGCGCCTAATAGTTTATTCTTCCAGCAAGGCACGGCTGGGGCGGCCCGGAGCGAGCAGGTGTAAAGGGTGGTCGTTCAGGGGAGCCTCAGGAAGCAGAGCCCTGCGGGAAAGAGACCGTTAGGACACCACCGGCAGCAAGCAGGATCCCTCTAGTCCCCTCTCCCCCACCCCACACCAACGCACCCCCTTCTTCCTGCAATCGCCACAGAAGACACCCAGGGTGGCGTTCAGGAGCTGTATCCCGCACAGCACAATTTCCAGGCAGGAGGCGGCCACCAGCACGGAGAAGAGCGTCACGTTCCAGGTAACCACGTTGGGCGGTTTCTCGCACTTGCTCCACAGCGTATGGTTGCGCAAGTACTCTCCCCTGTGGGCGGGGCAAGGTCACGTGAAGGAGGCGAGTGGTCCTCCCAGCCCCCTGTCCCTGTGCACACCCTCGCGGATACACGGATACGCGGAGAATTTGGGAAGGAAGGACTCGGTTGGCCCACGTTGGGGCGGGGAGCTCTTGAAGCGGGTTTCCAGGCCACGTGCAAAGAGCAGGTGGGGAAAGCAGAGGGAGATGGATGGACACAGACCCAGGCTCAGCCTTACTGGGAGTTTTCGAAGGGATAAATCCAGTTGTTATCAGCGTAGCATTGGGGTCCATTGCGGAGAGCGGCTCCTGACACCCCCAGGCAGTAGATAGCGCCGAGCACCCCGAATGCCGACGAGAAGACGGAGCGCAGCATCTGGATGCAGAGTGAAATGAAAAAGCTCTCCAGACTCCCAGCCATCTTTCGATAGAACTGCCCCTGTGGGTGTCTGAGACTGAAACTATTTACAGAACTAGAAAGCCACAGCTTCTTCCCACAGAGTGGTGGGTGGGTTCAAACTGCTGACTTTGCGGCTAGCCGGCCAACAGGGAACCCACCACACCAACCAAGGCTGTCTGGAGGCAGAATGAAAAGTAGCCTAAGTCATAGTGCCTCCTTCCGATCCGTGGGCTGATTAAGCCTAGCTGGTGGTGTAGCCCTGGTGCTGTAGTGTTTATGCAAGGTCAGTTGCTCAAAACCACCAGCTGCTCCGTGGAAGAAAGGTTTTTACAGCCTCTGAAGCCCACAGAGGTCCTTACACTCGGTTCAAGGACCATTATGCATCGAAATCGACCATGGTGGCAGTGAGGATTTTTCTGTGGCTTGTTTTCAACCCCCCACGTGGTTGCAGTCTCCCCGAGTCACGTTAAACCTAGTTCTCCCTTAAACCTTGGCACCGAAAGTTAGGCTAACTGGGAGCACCCGCAGTCAGGGAGGTTCACGGGGATGGCCATGCCCATCAGTCAAGTTCACCACGTAAGTGTATGGTGGAGCTGGGGTGTTTCAGAGAAGCTTGTGTTGTAAGGATTCTGTCTGTGGAGAGGGCCCGTAGCTTTCGCGGTGGAGCTGCGAGGCAGGTTCAAAGACTTGGCTCAGAATTCGGCTCCAATTGGGATCTTACCCTGCAGCGGTTTCCACAGCAGCCGGCACCGCAGCAGCCCTTGCCCCCGGCGCGAACAGCTGTGATTCCAGGACACAGGACCTGTGAGAGAGAGTCAGAGGGCTACCCTTGTCCCCTTCTTCAACACCTCCGTGCATCATGACTCCCCTCATTTGGGAAGCTGCTTGTGACTCTCTTGAATCCCTTGCACTGTGCTCGTCCAGTTGGTCCTGACTCATTACAAACTGTTAGCGGAACGTTGCCCAGTCCTGCGCCAGCCTCACAGACATCTAGGAGCCCATTGTTAGAGCGCTCATCTCAATCCGTGTTTGGGAGCGTGCCCCTCATTGTCGCTGACCCACACTGCTTTACCAAACCCGACGCTCTTTTCTCCTGGATTGCTCCTTGGACTCTGCCTACCCACTTATCTGTTGCTATCCAGTGGATTCTGACTCCTGGCAGCCCTACAGGGTGGGATGGAACTGTCCCGGGGGGTTTCCATGGCTGTAATCTTTACGGAAGCCTTTTTCTACAGCAGAGCAGCTGGTAGGCCTTAACAGACATTCTGATTAGTGGCTGAGTAACCGCGGGGCCACCAGGGCGCCTTTGCACTATGGCCGGATGTTATCATCATTTCTCCTGGCGTGCTCCCGGGCTCTAATTGATAGTTATTTAGATTCCTACTTATCTCCGTCCAGATTGTGGTCTCCTACAGGGTTAGGGTCCAATATCATTAGCCCCATAAACTGCAGCAGCACCCAGTAGGTGCCCGACTTCATCTCACGTACTTTGGACATGTTCTCAGGAGGGACAGATCCCTGAAAAAGGACATCATGCTTTCTAAAGTCGAGGGACAGCGACAAAGAAGACCCTTCCTGAGGCAGCTGGTTTGACATGGTGGCTGCCATAATGGGCTCCGACGTTAGAACTGAGGGGATGGTGCAGGACAGGGCACGGCTTCATTCTGCTGGACACAGGATGTACATAGAGTTGGCGTGAGCCGTCCCGACATGACAGCGCCTAGCTACAGCAGCAAGTGCCCAGCTGCAGGGGAGTCAGGAGACCCGTGTTCTAATATGAACCCTGCACACAACTTCCCACTCTATCAACCGAGTCAGCTCTCTGAGTCTCAATTTCCCTGTTTAAAAATGGGCCTGTCAATCTTAGCGCAGAGGGGCCCTCGGCAAGATTTAAAGAGACAGCAGGTTGACTTGATGTCAACACTGGCTCAGAGTCAATGCTCAACGATGACAACTTCCCTTCTGTCTCTTCAGTGGCAGCCCAGGTGTGCCCACGGGGTTTTTAATGACTGGGTGTGGGGTTGCTTTTCCTAATTAGATTTCCAGGTCTTTCTACATGCTCCTGGAAGTGCATTCAAACCACCAGCTGTTCAGTTAGTAGCTGAATGTGGCAGCTGTTTGCAGGACCCCAGGCCTCTGGAGCTCAGCCCGGGCTATCAGAAATGTGGGCTGAGGGGGGAATGGACATGCAGGACAGGGAGGGGCACACTGAGCTGATAGGAGGAAGTGACTGATCAGTGATGTCGCTCCCTGGCTCCAGATATATTTACTGCCCCGCCCCCCTATGACCATCCTTGTCCTGCCCTGATAACCTCCCACACAGCCAACTGTTCCTGCTACCTCGCCTCTTGTAGGGAAGTGTACCCACCATCTGTCCAACTGTAGTGGGGGGTGGGGAACAGGTGGAGAAGGGAAGCTGGTGTGTGTGTGTGTGTGTGTGTTGGAAGAGGGAGGCAGGAGAGTGTGTGTGTGTGTGTGTGTGTTTTGGAAAAGGGAGGCAGGACAGAGACCCTATCAAACCAGGGCATCTCTTCCCTGGCACTCATCTTTTCCCTTCTCTATCCCCCCACCCCCAGGTGTAAAGCCCTTAGAATAGCCATCTGGCCCACCTCCCTTCTTGTCACCACCCTTCACAGACTTCTCACCATCAGGCCCCCTCCGATGAAGCCCGCCATGAGCCAGACTTGCAGGCTGAGGTGGTCGGTCCAGGAAGTCTCCCCATTAGGCACCAGCAGAAGGATGTTGGCCAAGATGCAGACCAGGGAGAGCGGGATGAGGGAGAGCCCCACACATCGGGCACACTGTCCTGTGCACATGGCCACAAGCAGCCAGGAAGGGCAGGCAGCGAGTGAAAGTGAGCACAGGGTTTCCTGGGCCAGAGAAAACCCAGGCTGGAGTGAGGAGCAAAGGTCGGGGATAAGAGGCGTGGCAGAAAGTGGCAGGAGCAGAGTGACAGCGAGAGTGCCAGGAGGCACACACACTGCAGAGGCCAAGGGGCTGCAGCCCTGGAGGGGAGGGGAGGATGTGGTGGAGGAGGGAGGGGAGCTTGTCACACAAAGGAAGTTGCCTGGGGTCAGTGAGCTCTTCCTCTTTCTCTGCACACACCTCTCCCCAGCCCCTCTGGGGGTTCTTTACCTGCATTATGGCTTGTCAAAGCCCCAATGGCTCCAAGACCCTTCTCAGTTGTCGCATCTGTATAATGGGTACAGCTGTGCCACTTGCCTCCTGGGCTGATTGTGCAGCTGAAGTTGGGAGGAGCCTCCTGGGCTGATTGTGCAGCTGAAGTTGGGAGGATACGAGAAAAGTGTTTTGTGGGCTACGAAGTACTAAGCAGATGTATGGACCTCACTGTTAGTAACCACCCAAGAGACTAGGTACGAAGATGCTACTGGGCTTCCACTGCCCTTTAACATCTTTGGCTGCTTCTTCTGGTAAGACTCACTCAAAACTTACGGCCATCGAATCCATGCTGACTCACGGCGACCCTATAGGACAGGGTAGAAATGCCCCTGTGAGTTTCTGAGACTCTTTACGGGAGTAGAAAGTTCCATTCTTTCCCCCACAGAGCGACTGGTGGTTTCGAACTGCTGGCCTTGCAGTTAGTAGCCCAATGCGTAACCACTGCGCCACTAGGGCTCCCTTCTGGGCTGAGGGGGGCTGAGGGGGGAATGTGGGCTGAGGGGGGAATGGACATGCAGGACGGGGAGGGGAGGGGCACACTGAGCTGATAGGAGGAAGTGACTGATCAGTGATGTCGCTCCCTGGCTCCAGATATTTTTACTGCCCCGCCCCGCTATGACCATCCTTGTCCTGCCCTGATAACCTCCCACTCAGCCAACTGTTCCTGCTACCTTGCCCCTTGTAGGGAAGTGTACCCACCATCTGTCCAACTGTAGTGGGGGGTGGGGAACAGGTGGAGAAGGGAAGCTGGTGTGTGTGGGAAGCATCTCAATATTTTGAAATTCACCCTTTCTTTCTCAAGGTGGGCTCATGATGAGGTCTGATGGATCAGAGGGAGCATCTCACCATCCGGGGGCTCAGCCTCAGTATTTGATTCAGTGATGACCCTTCTGGGTTGGTTGGTTTGCATTCCGAGGTTAAAAAGCTCTGCTTTTGTTGGGGCACTGATATTGCTGCTAGCATATTCTCACCAAGAAGGAGGGCTTGTTTGAGAGTGAAGGCAACAAGGAGGCAAGGACAATGGAGGGATCCACAAAGACGGCCTGATGGCGTCACCCGAGCTTGCAGAGCCAGCCATGCCTGAAGCCTGGCTGTCTTTTGGCCAGTTCTGATTATGTGAGCTTGTTGGAGCTATGCTTCTGCCCACTGTAACCCAAGGGGTCTTTTTTCATGCAGAGAGGAATTAATGAAGCCCTCGCTATGGACAGGGCTCTCCCAACTGCCTGCAGCCTTTGTTGTTGTGAACTACCATCTAGTCAGGCCCCAGTCCACGGGGGTTCATGCACAGTGGAACTCAATACTTGCCAATCCGACGCCAAACCCGTGGTGGTTGGGGATTCGATCATTGTGATCCACTCGGTTTTCGCCGCCTGCTTTTTGGAAGTAGATCACCAGGCCTTTCTTCCTAGTCTGACTTAGTCTGGAAGCTCAGTTGAAATCTGTTTGACATCATAGTAGCACATAGACCTCCACTTATAGACCACGCACAAGCTATATTGGTCAGGAATTAACCTGGGTTTTTTAAAGCAAAAGCAAGAATTCTACTACGGATGCACTAATGCTTGAGTGAGGCCAATGGCTAATATGATCAGCTTCCAAAGCAAAGGGTGGGAAGTTGGAGTCTATCCAGAGGTACGTTGAAAGAAAAGCTTGGTGATCCACGGCCTCCACCCCCCCACCAAAAAAAATCATTGAAGTGGAAACCCTATAGAGCACAGTTTGACTCTGACACGCACAAGGCGCCATCCATTGGAACTGACTTGATGGCAACTGGTGGTATGGACAGGCTACCGTGCTGGAGACTGTGAGGATTCAGAATTGCATGCGGGAGATCCGGATAGATGGGCCATGGGAGCTAAGGAGAGTGAAGGCCCTTGAAGAATGACACCCAGCCGAGGTAGGATGGGGTAGTGCCCTGGAAAAGGTGGGAGTAGCAGGAAGTGCTGCAGTGCCTCAGGGGGCCTGAGGGGAGGATGCCACCCACGGAGAGTGAGATTGGCCAGTGGCCTCTGATGTAGCCGCTCCCATTCAAACCATAGTGGACACATGAAAAATGGGGAAAACTTATCACTCAGAATGAAATCCAGAACTTGGGAGGAATCCCTGCCATATGGAAGAGAGGAAGAGCTGGTTTGAAAAAAAAATCTGAGAGTTTACCTCTTCCATCAGAGGATACCTGAAATAAAGGCAAATATTTTGGCCGTCCCTCATGGTCTGCCTCTTGCTTGTAGTGATTGTGATCACTGATATGTGGTCTTGCTTTTGTTGTTTTGTTGAATGCTTTCTCCTTCTTCCATGCCCATGCTGTTTCTTCTGTCTCTTTTCTTGGAAGGTTTTCTCATTCTCCTGTGTTTTAGAAGGCACATTTTAAACCTGCGCAGTGGTTATTTTTCAGTGTTGCAAAAGTATCTTTTGACTTGTTACCCTGCCTCCTTCTGAGATGTCTCAGAAGGCACATTGTGTCGGTAGCTCGTTTGAGAAGTTCTGCAGGGCTGACAAGTGCACCTGGCTGGTGCAAAGGGTTAGCGTGATCTGTGCTAACCTAATGGTTAGCGGTTCGGGTCCACCCAGAAGCCCTTCAGAGGAAACACTCGGTGTTCTACTTCCGAAAAATCAGCCATGGAAAACTCTACGGAGGACTGTTCCACTCTGACTCACGTGGAGTCACCATGTGTGGGATTGATTTGAGGACACACAGTAGGGATGGTTTCCCCCGCTTAGAGCTACATGTGGCTCTGTAGACAACACTGATCGATTTGCTCTATTCTTTAGTCTTCCCTAAGTCCATACCCTTTTCCTAAACACGCAGACGCAGACATGAGCCTCGGTGACATAGTGGGTTGTGTGCTGGGCTGCTAACCACAAGGTCAGCGGTGTGAAATCACCCGTTGTTCTGAAGGAGAAAGACGAGGTTCCCTACTTCTGCAAAGAGCGACATTCTCAGAAACCCACAGGGACAGTTCTATCGTGTCCTATAGGGTCAGAATTGACTCAGTGGCAGAGGGTTTCTTTTTTGGGACATTGTATATGCTTTTATCTTTTAAAAATCATTTTACTGGAGGTATGTACAATTCTTATCACAATCCATACACACACCCATTGTGTCAAGCATATTTGTACATTTGTTGCCCTCATCATTCTCAAAATACTTGCCTTCTACTTGAGCCCTTAATATCAGCTCCTCATTTTCCCCTCCCTCCCCCACTCCCCTCCCTCATGAATGAGCCCCTGATAATTTAT